GAAAACATGACTATACAAAAGCTTCCTTCCCAACACAAAGGCAGCTTGGATACATAAACAGAACACACATCGCAAATAAGAGCATAGAAATATGTTCCTATAAATGAAACTACCCAAGTATGCGTCTTTTTGCACACACACCAACAGTCTTAAGATTCAGAGCAGATTTCACACTAACTGTGCAATGAATACGATGCATTTCTCTCCCTTCTCCCAAGCTAATAAATTCCATATAAACCTAAATCAGACCGGAGAAAAGTATCTCAATATATAGGTCTCAACGCTAATCCAGAAACTAGAAGATGGGCCTTCTGTATCAAATCTCCTTCACTCCAAAACAGTCTAACCTTCCTGCTACCATTTTAGATTCAACACCATAAAGCTTTCATATGTCATTTTAGCAGGTGAGGAACTGAAGAAAACGTTGCCTCTAACAATCTGTTATCTCCCACATGTGAAACGGAGCTTCTGACTGTTATATAATCCTGTTGTAAACTGCTTTCAGAAAACTCCCATCAAATGTTTCCGGAAAACACAGCTCTTGTACAAACAGACACCATCACCAGCACAGGCACAGCAGGTACTCACCCTACCCTACCCTGCATGGGTAATAAACCTAGTAAAATCCTTCATGTGAAACAATGTCTGTCTCAACTGCTGCTTTTATTACTCCTAGCTCCCTCCCACTGCTTATAGGGGGTGAAATGCCATTACTGCACGTAACGATGTATATAACACCTCTAACATTAAGATTTTTCCCTTGCATGTGAACCAAGGGTTTAACTCCATTCAAGATCAGCCAAATAGGTTCAGCACTTTTTTTTCCTTTTTATACTGTCAAAATATGAAAATACCAATTCCCAGAAAACCATACCATGAAGACCTAAACTGGTAGTATGAGACAACCAGAAGTCTTTAGGTTTCTAAAGTATTCTTTAAGAACGTTTGTTCATGCATTCCTTGAAGGAAATAAAAAAGCAGTCAGCTTTCAAGAAAAAAATCCAAGAAGTTTCATAAGACCAAGTAAGAACTATTTGCGAGTACTGAAAACAGCAGCTTGGTGAGAAGGACAGAGTAAGGATCCAGGGGTGGTGGCCTCTCCTGGTGTTAGGGCTAAGGCAGCAGAGCCAAAAGAAGGAAAACAGAAGAACAAAGCCTGTTGCAATCCTTCTGTACTGTAAACAAGATTTCTTCAAAGAATTTTCATCAGTCACCTCAAAAACCCAAGTAGTACCAATACACAAGTCTGATGCAAATTTTTGTTGGAAAGCAAAATTATTATTCAGATTCTGAGCACTGAATCTTTCATTTCAACATAAAGTTCTTGACAGTCACCTGTTCCAGGTGCTTCAGAGAAAAGCATTTTTTAAGAAAAAAACCCCAAAACAACCCCCAAAAAACCAAACAAATAAAACTTTGAGTTGAATTAATCATCTGGGAAACAATTCTCTTACTAATACTAGTTAACTAGCAATTAACCTACACTTCAATTCACAAACCGTATCTACTATGAAATTGTAAAAGACTTACATTTTATGTTATTAGCTTATATTAAAAACCTCATGCCTTTTAAATACTTTGCTAAGCTCCTGGCCTCAGTCTCTCATGTTCAACTGTCTACATTGTTCACTATGTAAAAAAGCCTCTGGGTTCTGAATTTGTCAGCTCTGACTCAAGTCTTTGCATAGTTACACAGTTAATGTTAGATGCCACAAAGGAAACTGCACTAACTATGCAATGCTACATTTGAAGACCATTGCTTCCAAGTTAGCAGGAACTTCAAAATAAGGAGAATTTTAACCTTTCACGTTTATTCATTGACTGAGAATGAACACTTTTTTGTACCTTAGGGAAAAGGACGTGTTTACAAAGCCATTTTTGTAAATATTTCTCTGAGACAGACCAACGAGAAATAACCCATTACTAGCCTTTTTTACTGTTTTTATGATTAAAAGTTGCACAAAACCATATCTAGCACATGTATCTCCCACTAGCCATAGAAAAAACAAGAAAAGCACGTATAGAATAAGGGGCAAGCTGCTTTTGAATCTCTATTCTCAGTGTTCACAGATATACAAGAAGAAACAGGCACTCTGGGGAAGAAAACAATAGAACCACATTCAGTCTTTCTTTCTCTTCATCATAGTTAAAGTCTGTGCAGAAGGGATGACCGGGTTCAAGCGTTAACAAACTGAAAGGGTTGAGACACGTGGGATCGCAAAGAGAAACAAAACCTCTGGAAAATAAACCACCTTGGTTTCAAGTAGTACTTCCTGAGATCTGCAAGCTGGGAACTAAATCCAGTCCACTCAACAGAAATTCATCAAGAAGAAACAGTTTTTGTGGCCTCTTGGTTCCTCGTGTCTCTACACCAATAAGCTACAAGATGCCTAAAGTCCTACAGACATAAATTCAAATAGCAAACTTGACAAGTTAGCATTCTGTAATACTAGATTTCATCTGTTTGGCTGTTTGTTTAGGACTGTGAAAGACAGATGGTCCATAGCTAAAAAAGGTTTCAGGAACACATTTTAAATATATTGACAAAAATTTAGGCCATAGTGATCTATTTTGATTACATTTGGGCTAATTTGTGTGTGCGTGATTAGTTTTCCACCTACAAAAATGCATTTTTCATTTTGTATCTCAGTTCAAACCACAGAACAGAACTCAAGCCACTGTATTTTCCCCCCTCTGTAGAACCTTTGCCACTTCTAACCCAGGGGGAGTACAACATCTAGTACAACGTCCCCACCAGCGTACCAGGCTCACAAAACCTCTTTATGCCTTTATGGTATAAAGGCTAAAAACATTGTTTAGCATTTAGGATAACAGTGACATTTTAAAAAAACTCTTTAAAGCTGACAGAAGTGCATTTTGTACTTCCTACCAATCTCTGAGGGAAGAAAGGAAATCACACTAACAGCACTACTATGGTACTGCTGCTTATAAATGCTTACAGACTATTAACTGTTACAAAAGTTTCATTTTTAGTTTAAATTATTCCTTGAAATTTATCCTCAGCAATGACCACATCACCACCTACATCTATTTTTAGAGCTATGCTTTCTATTCTAAGCAACTCATTGCAATCTTTAATGAATCACAATAGCAAAATACTAGTTAGAAGAGTTTTTACTGGGTAACTATAAAGAGACACAGAGAGAAAAGAACTCAATTACAATCAGATGAATTGGGGAAAGTTAAGACAAAATAATATTTTTTACAATTTTTTGTTGTTTTCATAAATAAAAACTAATAAAACTCCTAACATTTTTTAATGTCATAAATAACCCAAATGGACATGATTCAAGATTAAAAAAAAAGAAAAACAAAAGATTACTGAAAAATTACTGAAAAGCAAATGCAGCTTATAGTTTTATGTACCATTTCCTACAGCAGTGTGGTAAGTACTAAGCAACTCTACTTTCCAAGTATTTAGATAAACACAAAGTAGTATCATAAATACACACACATAAATACACAACTTGGGAAACTTTAAAAACTGCTATTCTCTAAGCAGTGCAAAGTTTTTCACCTATTTAGTTATATATTTTTAAAGTAGCACTGTAAAAAAAAAAAAAAATAGTGTTTACTAATGCTGAAAATCCAGTAAACGTGTTACAGTGCAACTCAACCAGCTCATCTTTAAAATGGCAAATATAACAAATTCCAGAAATTGGTCTTTCAAAAAAAGGAAAATTCACATAGGATATGAATGAAATCACATCCACAGAGAAAAGGCTCTTCTAACTGAATTCAGCTCAACTTGATTTTTCTGTATTCCACATTTCTGAGTTACAGAAAATGCCAATGTAACCTCACTGAAAATATTCAGGAAGACAAAAATATTTTACAGAAGGATCCTTCCAGAATCAGTTATATGGAAATCAAAACCCTTAATAAAATAAAAAAAGAACTATTACCAGTTAATCAGAAATGCATATACTGAACTATGCCATTCTGCCACAACTCTGAGCCAGAAAAAGCATTAATAGTTAACGATATTCAGACAGAAAATTAAGACAGATCATCTACTAAATAGCAAAAATTCCTGGAACGAACAAGGAAATTAGTGGTCAAGCAAAAGCTGATATTAAATAAAAAAACAAAACAAAACAAATGAAACCATTCCTGATATAGAGATTGCTGTGAAAGTACAAGGAGGTGACATTATCTTCTTTCCCTCTTGTAACAGCTTCTCCCTTTAATCATCAGTTATTCTTTTTTGTTGAAGACAGGATACTGTATTAAGAGACTTTCGATCTGACCAGTAATGGCCATTTTTGTGTTCTTAGCACTTGAAATCATATTGTATGGGGGTCCTAACTGCAAGAATATAAACTGTTAACACACCAAGGATTAGTGAGGACTATATTCTGTTGTGAACGTCCTATTTTTTTGCACAGCTGCCAAAAACCACTTGTTTTTATTTCTGCTCTCGAACAGGAAAACCTGCCCATTCCATAAAGGAAATTAGAGAGCACTTGCACACATCCATTGATTACATCACCCTAAGCATCCCTATTACTTCATTCTCCTACTTGTAAAGCTCTTGTAAGGAACACTGCACAAGAAACTCTTGTCAGTACCACGTCCACTCAATGGCAAAACTGCTACTGAGCGATGCAAGGTACTTCCACTTTTTCCTGTGTTATCCATAACACACCACTGTGCAACAGCAAAAGCTGGAAACTGCAGGTTGGTGATACACTTATACTAAAATTAAATAGACAAATACTATCGGCAATGGCTGCAATACTTTTGTCTTAAATCAAATAATAACCTATGCTTTATATCTTGTTCTGCTCACTCAGCTTACAAACATTTAGGCCTAGACTCTGTAAAAACTTCCATGACAAAGTTAGAAACACATAGGTCTCCAGAAGATATGAGTTTAATTCATGACAGGGATGTCTGATTTGAAGTTCAAGTCACAAGAGTAAAATTTAATGAGCACACATCAGATGTCTTAGCTGATTATAAACAGAGTAACTTACCCTGATTTTTCTTTTTCTTCAGTATCTGCATTTACGGTAGGATTTTCCATTTCTTTAATCTTCTCTTCCTCTTTATCTTCTAGTTTGCTTTCATCTTCAGTTTTGATTGCATTTAAGTCCTTTTCTTGATCAGGCTGAATAAATGCAGAATCTGGCAAAATTTTTTTGTTTCCCTAGGGCAATAAAACCTTTAGTTGACTTACAAGGTGAAATAAAGTACAAAGAATTTAAGAAAATGCAGATAAAACACAGTGAAGTTGTATGAGTAAAAAAACCTAAAGTCTAGGGCTTGTTCTAAAATTAAAGCACACCCACTGTTTTTATTTCTGAAAATCTCCAGCTAAACATAACAGACTTCGAAGTTGCAGCCAGTGTCCCAGCTAGTTTTGTCACAGTGATACAGGCATGCAGCTCTTAGACCTGAACTGTAAAGCAATTCCCAAGCTCAACACTTTGCAGGGCATGCTTTCACATAGGATGCAGAGATATCAGTACTGGTATTCACCCCAGCTGGTACCATTAGACAAACCTGGGCTGGCTGCCACTTAACACACAGAAGCATTACGTTTGTGTTGCACACTGCCCTGAGGAGCCTACACTGCTTCCAGAGCAAACTGCTAAGCCTGCACAGCGCAGCACTTCAGCTTACTGCCCTGGACTTCCTTTGCTAAAAATCACTGAGTCAACATTGGATTTTGAAAAAGTATCAACATTTGTCTCTCTAGACCCACTGAACTACCTTAGACCACTGGTTTCACTGGAGCGGAGAAATAAAAGCAAGACTTCTGAGGGCTTAAAAGCACGGCTAAATGCAAACCCAAAGTACCAGCACTGTAGTTAGCTGTGGGCATGCATTACCCAGATTACACGATAAAGTTGCACACTAATTAGTCTCCATTTGAGCTGGGAGGCCCCCAAACAAGTGGAATGTTGCAGCTGCTTCATAACAAGACATTTTGACATCATGATCCCCTAACACAGGCACGAAGATATAAATATGGCTCAAATGTGTTGTTCTGAATTAGGTCTACAGCATGTTTTTGTCTTGTTTTAAATCCATTCTGGAGATTTCAATTTTGAGGTGAGTTCATGATTATCCACATACCACCTGACTTTATAAACAGAATATAACGTGAACATTAAAATATTTTACCAGAAGAGAGGGCTTCTCATTTTCTTTACTTTCATTATCATTCTCAGCTAACTTATTTTCTTCTTGTTGTACTACTGCTACTTCCTCCTGCTTGTTCTCCTCTTTATCCACTTTTATTTCTTTTACATCCTGCTCTGGTTCTTCACGCATCTTCAATTCTTTTTCTTTTTCACAGTCTTTACAAGGCTTGCCCGTCACTTTCTCTGGCAGTGCCATTTGAAATTCAATGTTAGCTGATGTACAATACTCTTCAAAACCATAGAGATATCTAAAAGAAAAAAATTGCTTGCAATAAGCAAGTTTGTTTCAAGAAAGAACAGGCTACCTAGCAGGAGCTAAATGTGAACAGCAAGTTTAAAGCCTAAAAAAACTGTATAATAATAAAAAAGTTATGGACTTGTTTATATTACCACTATCACAGGATCACTTCAGTTCTTTCTAGTGCTGTTGCAGCACAAATTTCATAGCTTTATTACTTACTTTTTGTATGCACATTTAACATTATATCCTGCAGCTGAATTCAATACAGGGATTCCAAGATCTTGATAAACTTGCTTCCACACTGCTCCACTTTCAATCTGTTAAAGAAAATGAAGTCGCAGTTTTTGAATTAACTCACAAAAAAGACATAAATTGACAAAGTTTATAACTTTGGAACATAATTGTAAGTAATTTCCTCTGATCTATAAAATTTACTATTTATCACACACAGTATTTCACTGTCATGCAAACTCTAGTCTAATGTAACCACTTCAAGCAATTTAGCATTTTTTTCAGCAGTCTTTCCTCTCCAGGTGGAAATAAAACAAAGAAAAGAAAATACAAACATCAGAAAAATCAGTACTTAATTTTTATTTTATATTTAAAGTAATCCTTAACTATCAGAGCTACACTTTTAATTAAATTTGCAAGAAAAAAAAATCTTTCAAATCAAGTTAACACTACTCAGCCCTAGCAGTACTGCACCAGATAGAGTAGCTACCAGTCTTTCATTATGTCCTTCATGTGCCCTTTGGTGTTGAAGTTTTGTGACAATGTGATATGCTCATTTCTAACCATCTGCGAAGGTAAAGCAGATGTACTGCAATGCTCAAGTACAAGATCCTCTCTTGTATATCAGAAAGGTGTCACTGCACAAACATACCTCCTGAACTGACAGGCTAAATTTATGGGAAGCAGTCCAAAGCAGTAACAAAATCTGTTGGCCACGAGTTCCATATGCTTCAACTCCTGCTCAAAGACCAATCCTCCTAATCCCAGTCAGCACATTCTTTTATGTACTGCCCAGAATAGATAGGAATTAGGAGCCTCACATCAGACCTTAAACTAGATTACTTGTCTCAGATTTTATTGAGCAGTGACTCTTTTCCACTTTCTGAGGCAACAACTTTATCAAACATTTCTTGAAATACTACAAAAATGGGTCATTTTATGCAGCAGTAACTAAAAATGCTGAGTAGATGTGTAATTTATTCAGAATATAATTAGTTTATGGTTCCCATTAAAGCACATTTTTCAGAGCTACAGGGTGTCTTACGTAGCTGTAGTATTAAATTTCCATATGTCTAAAGCTCCTGTGTAAGATTCTTCTTTATTACTACTTTAAAAAGAATAAACATCCTCAGATTTTATGGCTCTGGAATACTCATCATACTAATACTCACATTATCAAATCCTCCAAGCTTGTGTACAAGTCTGAATAATTTGAAAAGATTCAAATTTCTATATCCTAATACAGGTCGTTTGTTAATAGGAGTCCCTGTGAATAAAGACAGTTATTACAGAGTTTTGAAATAGCTTTCTCAGAATAACATGAAATCCACATCACAGTCACTACTCCACTATTAAATACAGTATTGTAAACCCCTCTCTCTGACCACCTCATGCTTCTGCTACTTTCTCTTCATGAAACTAAAATTGAAGAGTCTTAATAACCCATTTTCCCTGTAGTTCAGTAATGCAATTTATGCATAATTTTCCATACATTGCCGAACATGCACAAATGATGCAACATTTCTTGCTGCCTGTATTATACACATTTTTATTTCACAGGCTGAAACAATTACATCTTAAAATATCAACGTAGTCCTTTCACTACAATAAAAAAATTTAAAAAAATAAAAAAAAGACCTCCCCAGGAACAAATCCCACAATGCTTCAAAGAGCTGAAACTTTCTATGCTACTGTACTAGCAGTAGCTACCACATTGTCATCTCTTGTAAAAATTTCCTCAACTCATCTTCATGTGTAAGTAAAAAGATACTAAATTAACTAATTATAATACTAACTTAAATATAAACACCTTCACCCCTGCCTCCACAGACACTGTACTTTTCTTGGAGTGCATAAATACCTGGTAAAGATTCAATACAATAAATGGCATTTGCTTTTAAAAACATTTCATTCTACCTTGCTGATAATACTCATGCATTTAAGTCATATGGATTCACACAACAAAACTAGCACAAAGTAAATGCTTTTTTCCATGATCCTTAGTAGTAGGGGAGCAGTTGAATTTTATTTTATTTTTATTTTCTTTAAGTTTTTAAAGTTATTAAACTGGGCACATACATTAATATCACTGAGGATATTAAATGTTTGATTATACCCACTATAAGCACATATAAAATATACTAGGATATATGATGTACTATCCATTTACGTCTCAAAGCAGGAATAAGTGACAGTATTTCAGGAGAAGAGTCAAGTGACAGACTTATTTTCTAAATTGTGGGGAAGTCAGAAGTGATTAATACGGTCTCACTTTTTCCAAAAGCTAACTGCAAAGCACTACTATTATACTATTTAAAGTGTTGCTAAGCGATGTATCTATCTTCAGCTTCTACAAGTCAAAGATTAAAATGCCTACCTCTGTCTTCCATGAACTTGTATAATTGCTGAAGAAAGTTCTCTCGTTCTTCAGGAAAAGGCTCTATTTCTTCCTGTTTAAAGTAACACACATAAGAAAATTATCACCATTTTGAGTTAGTCTTTTGTTAAGAAACATACAGCAGTGATAATTTAGGTTCAAATGCTCAAGTTTGTTTTCCTGTAGTCAGCAACAGGGTACTATATAGGACACATGCTCTCAGTGCCACATGGAAGTAAATTTTATAAACTACAGTTTTTCAAAATACATAAAGTAAAGACACACTGAAATTGGATTTTTGATTGATCACTGAGGTATCATAAGTAATACCATAAATCGAGATGTATTCTCAAGTTTGTCCATTTACACAGAAAGTCTGTGAGACACCACTATTAACGACCAAGAGATTTTATCAGAAACCTCAGGTCTATTTGTACTGCAGTTAAGCGACTCCTTGATGCCTGGATACACCATGTCACTTTCAGGAACGAAGTGAAAGAGAAAATGGTGCCTGCACTCTCTCAGAGTTCAAATCCACAGTACCAGCCAAGTGCAGCCAATGGCGCTGCATGCATGCTGCCGTGGGGTACCAGCAGAACGTGTGGTGAGCAGGATCAATCCCAGAACTGAAATAACAATGGATATTTTGGATGTTCAGTTCATTGCGCTAACAGACCTTTGTATTAGATTTACTTAGATTAATATACAGTGTAGTTTCATAACAAAGCACTATGGCTTACTTTATAACACCTCAATTTCTTCAGGAAATGTGACTTCCCACAACCATTAGCAATAAGATATTAGTATAATCAGAATTCTTAGAAATTCTAATGACTAAGCTACTTCTCAACAATATAAGTTGATTAATTTTCCACATACTTCTTTTAATACTATGTGTAAAGTTTCAAAAAATAACTAATAAAAGTTATTCAGTAAATCTAAAATAAATTATTTTTCTTTAGTGTATTTTCATTCCATGTTTATCTTTTCCACTCTTCAACAGTCTCCTTGTACTAATTATTGAAGCTTCACCTACCTTGAAGCAAGGGGAAAAAACATACTGTCTTTAAAGTTATAGCAAGTCAGTTGAGAAATCAATAGAATCATAGAATAGTTTGGTTGGAAAAGACCATTATGATTGTCTAGTCCAACTGTAAGTATAGCACTGCCAAGTCCACCACTAAACCATGTCCCTAAGCACCACATCTGAACGTCCTTTAAATACCTCCAGGGATGGTGACTCCACCACTTCCCTGGGCAGCCTGTTCCAGTGTTTGACAACCCTTTCAGTGAAGAAACAGTATGTCATTATTAAACACACAAGGGGAACGGGGGAGAAAAAACCCAGAAATAAAAACCACCTCCCACAACATCTGCTGAAGCTATTTAATAAAGAGATAGATGGCTGAAAAGAAGGCCAAGGAAGGCTATAATATACTATTACCAGTGAGTATATTTTTTTTTCCTTATTCTATACTTCCCCTTCTCCATTAAATGAACTTGGAAGACTTATCAGAGCAAACAGGCAAGAAATGAAGAACCAGTATTCACAATATGCTGAAACCATTGCAGTTTAGGTATAATCATCAGAAATGCAATGGAAATATTGCACAGTCTTGCAAAGGCAACGCAAGAGTGAAGTCTCCACGAGGAGCTCTCTCTGATACAGAGCATACCAGCAGAGCTCAGAGCAGGCTACTTCCATGAGAAAGGACAGGCTGGGTAGAGAACTGCAACCAGTATCCTGAATACATCCCCACAGGGCAGGGGCACCAGAAATTGGACATATCTAGCAATTCTTCACTGACAGGTATGAGGTGATGCTGCAGCCCTGCATATAGTACAAACGCCTGGTTAAGAACATTCACATTTCACAGGCAAAGGTGGAAAAGGAAACACTGCCAGTAAGCAAAGGATTCAACTTGCAATCTTAAAACTTGAATATGACCACAGAGAGCAAATTAATAGAATGGAATTGATATAGTTTGTTTTCATTAGTTTTAATCTCACATGACAGGTACCTGCAAAGGACTTTTGCCAGCATATGCTGGATCATGGCAAAGAGATCATGAGCACCTACTTGGGTTTCTCATGTTCCTCACCAACAAGAGAATACTTGCTGTAAGGAAACAGTCCCACAGAGTATTTAGGGGAGGAGGTCACTGAACTAAACCTTTAAGATATCCAACAAAGCTTTTAAGAAGGAATGCAAGCTTTTTAAATATTAGAGTAACTGAAGTAAAGGTGATGAAGAGCCTGAACAGAACACCGCTGCTTCTTTCTCACTGTAAGATCCAATGCCAGAAGAGTACTCTTTCGTCTCAAACATGATAATCCAGAGGTGTCAGAATGGCAAGTGGACACTCTTCCCAATAGAGACCAAACCAACTTTCTAAGAAAGGGGGAAAGCTTAAGTCCCTGCATGCCTCTGAATCACTTTCTCAGAATCTCTACAAAATCAGTACATTTTATACTATGATAATAATATCTGTTAATAATCTCCAAACATTTATGAAATCTATTAATAATCAAGAAGTCAGATGACAAGGTTTCCTAGATAATGGTTTGAAGCAGGCATGTCATACTCTGTGATCTTTGTTTATTTCTAAGTTAGACAACCATAGAGCTAGCAGGTCACTCTGCAGTCTCTAATCTATCTGTCCATGTCACAAAGTTAAAAGACACTGGCTTATATGTATGATAATGAAATCCAGAAAAGCAGACACATGCTTTTTGCAACACCTAAAGTTCACACAGTACTATAGCCCAGCACTAGAAGAGGGCCTTTTGTCAACTGTTTTGCCTACCATCAGATTTAGTAAAGGAAAGGAAGACTGTTTGCCAGGGCAAAAAAAAAAGGCAACTCCTCTTAAAAGAGAAGTAAAGAAGATTTGCATGTCAACCCCTATCTATATAGGATAAGGCCATCTATGTATCTATATCAATATATATATATATTATAT